TACGCATGACGGGCGACTCAACACCTATTCTTTTGTTTTTCGGCAGGGTCAAGATTATCCTGGTTCCTAATGCCCCTCGTCCTGTGCCGCTACAAAGTTCTTCCACACCGGTTCTTATTCTTTCACGCACAGCATTTCTTGCTGAATTGCGTGACTCTCCATGGTGTTTTTTGCTCGTTGGGGTCGACGGGGGTGATGTGCAGGTCCCACCGGCTGCCATCCGTCCACTTTTGACAGAGTTCTCGGATGTGTTTATAGAGGACATTCCTTCGGGCTTACCTCCCCTTCGTGACATACAGCATCATATCGATTTAGTTCCTAGGGCTTATTTGCCAAATCGCCTTTACTATCGGATGAGCCCGTCGGAGCACGAGGAACTGAGGCGACAGGTGGAGGAACTCCTATAGCGTGGGGTAGTTTGCCAGAGTTTGAGCCCCTGTGCTGTGCCGGCACTATTGATCTCGAAGAAGGACAACTCGTGGCGCATGTGTGTGGACAGTCGAGCCATCAACAAGATCACCGTCCGGTACCGATTCCCTATACCTCAGTTGGATGATCTGCTGGACCAACTCCATGGTGCTACTGCTTTCACTAAGCTAGATCTTCGCAGCGGCTATCACCAGATTCGTATAGGCCAGGTGACGAGTGGAAGACGGCCTTCAAGATTCGCGAGGGGCTATTCGAGTGGATGGTGATTCCTTTCGGTTTGTCCAACGCTCCCAGCACATTTATGCGAATGATGAACCAGGCATTGCGGGACTTTATTGGCAAGAGTGTTGTCGTTTATTTCGACGACATTCTTATTTACAATCAGACGATGGATGAGCACCTACAGCATGTACGAGAGGTGCTGAGTGTTTTGCGTGCTGAGTCATTTTTTGTTGCGCCTCGAAAGTGCTTTTTCTTGGTTGAGTCGGTGTTGTTTTTGGGGTTTATTGTCTCAGCCGAGGGTATTCGTGTGGATGAGGGGAAGGTGGCCGCTATTCGTGATTGGCCATCTCCCACACTTTCACTGAGGCCCAGAGTTTTCACGGGCTCACTTCCTTTCACCGACGCTTTATATCCCACTTTAGCACGATTACAGCGCTTACTACTCATTGCTTGACCCACAAGTCATTTTTGTGGACCCCGGCAGCCAAGGATGCTTTTGTTCTTATTAAGAGCAAGTTGACCTCCGCCCCTCTGCTCGTGCTCCCGGATTTTTCGAAGTCGTTTGAGCTTTCGTGTGATGCTTCGAAGGTGGGAATTGGCGCTGTTCTCAGTCAAGATGGTCGGCCGGTCTCATTTTTAGCGAGAAACTGTCTGGCCCGAGGTCCCGCTACAGCACGTATGATGTGGAGTTCTATGCCGTGGTTCGGGCAGTTCGCCATTGGCGGCACTTTCTTTTTCATCGCGAGTTCATTTTATATACGGACCACGAGGCCCTTCGACACTTAGCCACGCAGGATAATATTTTGGCTCGTCATGCCTCTTGGACGGCTTTCATACAGCAGTTTACTTTTGTCCTCCGTCATCGATCCGGTGCTTCGAATAGGATAGCTGATGC